ACTGTCGGTTTGCCTCCCTCTGGCAGTGCTAAAGAGAGTGTGCAGTCTAGTGATACAATTCAGCGCGAGGAGGATGGTTGAGAGCTCAAATAAAAGTGGCAGGTCCCAGAGAACTCCGTTCCAGATGGTGCATTTGCATGCAACAGGCCAGCACACTGGGTGAATTGCCGTTGTGTGAAACTGCACCAGTACACACACACACACCCCACACACATTCCTAGCCATGTCAGTAAACATTTAGTCTCTGGAGTACTGAGTTGGCACTCCATAATGATTCAGGCTGTGTGGGTCAGGAAAATGCTTCATGGGGGGAGTCTGTGCTGTGAAGTTGTGGTGCCTTGCTGAAGAAGAGGCAGAGGAGACTGGGAAGTGATATTTGGCAGTGGCTATGGGGTCTTGTCTTTGTGAGGGGCAGTGGTGCAGGTGGCCTCCCTTTCAGGAGAGAAGTTGGATGAGCGGAGCAGAACAAGACAAGGCAGCCCTGTCTGGAGTGGCTCCTTAATTCCTGACAAAACGCCTTCCATGTCCAGCAGTGTCTCCCTTCCTAGTTACACGAATGGCTTCCTTTGAGGACATGTGGGCAGGGTGGGAGGGTGGGGGTGGGCTTGGTTATTCTCTTTCACTAGTGTAGAAACACTCATGACTGGTTTGCATTTGACAAAAGTACAGAAGGTGTTCTGCAACCATCAGAAACCATCTTCAGTTGACCCTCTTGCTGGCTGGAAACAGCTTTTTTTTACTCCTGCGAGGATCTCTGCCTGATGCACGGGACCTGATTGTGGGATGGTCAGGCTTTTAATTACCACTAAAATAACTGATTCTATTGCTACTGGCAGGATGAGAGAAGATCAGAGGCTCAAGGCTCTCTCTCTCTCTCTCTCTCTCTTTCTTTCTCTCTCTCTCTTTCTCTCTCCCCCTTTCTTTCTCCCTCTCCCTCTCTTGCCATAGGGTGTCTAAGCTGCTTTCAGGGGCTGTGCAATTAAAAGCTCATCTTTCAAATGCAAAGTGAAAAGGGGTGGGAACTGGAGCTGTTTTCTACACTTGCTTTATTATACAGCAGTGTTAGAGGGTCGCTGTCAGGATATCCAGTCTGATTCAGGCTTTGCCAACTTGGTGCCCTCCAGATGTCTTGAACTGCAACTTTCTCATCAGTCCCAGCCAGCATAGCCTGGCTCTAAGCTAACAAGCAAAAAGCTTTGATAGAGGGAGGAGCGCCTGCAAGAGCGATTCCTTCTCCTGTGCTCTACACAGCCTCCACCACCAGGGACTGGCTCAGTGAGATTATCTGTAGACTTCTCCATCTTCCCTGTCCTCTGGTATGCAAGTGAGATGTCTATGTGAGATTCCATTAGGCTTCTTCACCCTCCTGAATAATTCCTTCTGCATGGTAATTCATTCTCACCTTCAGGTGGGTTTCACTGCCTGGTGCCTTCTAAGACTACAGTTGTCACCATCCCTGGCCATTGGCATTGTTGGTTGGTTGGGATTCCATCAACATCGTGGGGGTGGGGGTGGGGGTGCTGCTGCTCTGAGTTTGGCATATACCCAGCTATTCCAGTTGTACATACAGGAAGGTTGGCTAAATATCCATTAGGTCCTGGCTCGGCTTCCTCTCGAGCCAGAACCTCAACATGCCATTCTCTTCACCACCAAACACAGAATATTAACAGAATGGCAATTATTGCTAATGGGGCTTTCACATTGACCTCTCTCTGTAGATATATACTTCTTTCATCGGATACTTTCCAATATTGTCAACTACTGCAAAACCTGAATGCTTGAGCCATTTTCTGATGGTATGCCCAGGCCCATTAGGGAGGGAAAGGGAGGTGGGGTTGGACTAATGAGTATTGAACAGTGAGTGTGGGAATTTTGAAACCTGCATCTAAAAATGTTGGTATCCCCAGTCAAGTGTGCCACTCTCTAACTTGAGCATCTGTGGGTGGGTGTGCATGCATATGTTTTGTCTTTAAACTGTCTTAAAATCCATGGAGCTGACCGAGCCCTACTCTAGAACTCAAGGATGTTAGAATATTCATAGGCTGGCAGTGGAAGGCTTTGGGTGCCTTCAAATGGGAATGGCCCCCTCTTGCACCACCAGGCAGCAGGTGCGCATGGCGATGGGCGGCAGGGTGTGTCTCACGGTCCTCTGTTTTCCCCCCTGCAGTTGCGAGAGCTGGTCAGCATGTGCATATACCCAGATCCTGACCAGAGACCTGACATTGGTTATGTGCACCAGCTAGCAAAACAGATGCATGTGTGGACCTCCAGCACTTGATCGACATGCTCCCAGAAAAGCCATCCCAGCGTAGTCTTACTTGAACCTTCTGTCTCGGACGAAACCAAGAGGTGCCTCGCCAATTTACATGGGAGAGTTGAGCCTTCCTAGGAAGACGCTTCATGATTTCTGCTGGCCATTTGCAGGGGCGCTCACAGAGTGGATCCGCTCTAAGTGAAGGCTGTGAGATGCTGCTGCAAGTGTGTTACTTTTTAAAATAACACGTTACAGATATAGATCTCTTAAAAGATCCTTTCTTAAAACTGTTGTGTGTAATCTAGGTTAGGTTATTATAGCAAGGGTTTCTCATTTGTGTATTTGACACACCCCTTGTATCTTAACTAATGTGAAATATTGAAATAATTCCTTTGGTGAAATCACTTTATACTAATGTAAGAATTACAGTAGATTTTGTGTAATTTGTATAACTGCTACTTCTGCCTCTTTTGCAAACGGTTAATAGCAAATTCAGTTTTTAGTTCATATATTTTTTAAAAGAACATCCAGCCTGGAGTTTTCGTACTTCCCTCCTTTGCAATAATAGGGTCTGGTGAGGGAACATGTTTGAAGATTTTTTTTAAGAAATTGAAACTTTGTGATTAATATTTTGCAATGCATTTTATTTGTCACTATGGCTGCTGCAGTCAGTGAGGCCTCCACTGAAGGCCTCAAACCAAAGCTCTCTTTTTTGTCAGTTTCTGTGCCGCTGCCGGCACAGATCTTGTGAGAATCTCAATAGCTAATATTACATGACCAGTGTTACTGCACGCAGAATGCGGGGTTGGGGGGGGGAGCTTTATAAAATCAGTGGTACTTTGGCCATCTACAACTACCTTGAAGCAGTGTTCAAAACATAATGTAAAAGGGTATTACATTGACCATGCAATAAGGTAAGTTAAAATAGAATTCATTCATTTTAACTCAAATGATCACCCACCTTAACTGTGAAGACTCATTGAAGAATGTGAATATTTTAAACAAGCTGATTTGAAGGACATATTAAGACTTTGCATTTACACATACTTTCAATCAGCTAAATTACTTCATTGACTTGGTAATTCAGTTTCCATTGGCCCAAGAAAGGTTTTGCTCAGGAAGCCAGCTTTCTCTTGCATCTGTCTTTTCTCTTTTCTTTCCGAGTAATGGTGCTCAATCAGCTTCAGTACTGAAGGATGCTATTCAGAGAAGGATGTCCACGTTTCAGGGGCTGAAATGTGGCCTGGCCTCTGGGCTATTTTCAAAGCAGGTTATTTTGCTGGAAATAAAGAATGGAATATACATGCATCTTTTTCAGTGGATTTCTGTGTAGCTCAGTCTGCCTTAAATTGAGAAGGGCAATGCCAACTACTAAGCAGTTCTGAAACAATCCACAAAGGGTAATAAGGCTAGTGTTTAATTGCTGTGAAAGATCCTGGCTGTGGAAAGCCACAGGGAAGTCCAGCCTATCAATCTTGGTGGAGTCAGAATATTTCAGCTTTATTGTACAGCGGCAGCACATCTGCTTACAAACTCTCAGGTGCTGCTGCTGGTGGGTGTCTTTAAAAGCAAGGTAGTCTCTCCCTGGCACTGCAGGCTTCATTTGAATTTATATATAACCTGGTCTTGGGGTGCAACATGAAACTTCTGTCTGTTGGGCAATTCCACGTTACAGGTGTGTCTGCTAAAATCTGGTCTCATATACTTACTCCTCCTTAAGATCTATTAGCGCTTAAGTACATGTATTTCCAAAGAATTTTTTTGTGAATGTGCATTTTTAGATAAGATTAAATGATTTGCAAAATAAACAGTTTTCTTTGTAGAAAGAAAAAGGTGCCTGGTGTAAAAGCATATTGTCTGAGCACATATTTTTGCAATCTTGAGGAAAGAATTTCCCATGGTTACAGGCTGAAATGGTTGACCGCTAAACCAAGGACTAGGTAATTGGTTCACATATTAAATACTGTAAATGTAAGTTTCAAGGGTAACAGGTAAGATAATAGCCATTTATCAAAGTTAGTTTGAATAGTACTGAGCTTGACACCGACTTTCTGCCCTTCCTCTTCCTTGGAAAAATACTTTTCACCTCATTTACCTGTACTATATCCCCCCCCCAAAAAAAGCTTAGGTGTGGGGTGAGGTAAAGTCACTTGGGGCCGATTGGTGTAAAATCCAGAGCAACACGGGTTCCAGGGTACTTTTGCTTTGTTGTCTTACTAAATGATCTGTAACCCCCTGCCTCTGCCATACCTGCTTAAGGTACGTGAAAGTGTTCAGCAAAAAATGCTGTGAACACATTTTATTTATTCCTCTTGAGTTATGAAAAATATGGGGAATGAATGAATGAATGAATGAATAAATAAATAAATATAAAAGCAATATAAAAGGATATTGCATTCAGAACCAAGGAATCTGCTGAGCACCTTAAAGGACCAACAAATTTACATCACAAGTTTTCATGACCTAAAACTTGCTTCAGCAGATTTATCTAATGAAGCAGGCTTTTAGTCCACACAAGCCTAGGCTATTGCTTGTTGGTCACCAGACAGCTTCAGCATAAATACACCAATAGCACACAGGGGATAAGATCTGTTAACTTTTACATCTAAGAATGACTGTTGCTCTACTTGTGAAGTGGCTGGGGTCACATAATAGGCTGGATGTACAACTGGGCTGACCTACTGAAGCAAATAATCATTTTAGAAAATTATTTTTCCCTGCCCCAGTTATTACGCAAGTCAACCGGTCAATTCATATTGGTTTTTATTAAATCTGCATACAGAACATTGATGCCAGCATACAGATACAGAATTCATGTATGAAAATTCTCAATCCTCTTCCACTGCCCAGAAGTTTCCAGGAAGTCAAGATGTATCCATTGTTTGCACCGTCTCATCTGCCACTTCAAGATCCAAGGGTGTAACCTTCGTATAGAGCACACCTGTAGTTCCCCTCTCACAGCTGTATCGCCCTTGCCTGTTTGAGGGTGGAGAATAAAGAAACAATTATAGAGAGTACTGTGTGTCTGCCAGAAATCCCACTAACAAGGGGGGGCAGATGGAGACTGAGATATATACTTAGATCTAGTTGCTGTACTGAGTAAAGTTGCCCTTTTCCCAAATAGAACACAGCAGGTTAATCGCCCACTTCTGACTACCACACAGAGGAAACAAAACCACAAGGCCCACAGTTACAAGTCACAGCAAGCCAGACTCCAGCTTATTTCCTCTGCTGCAGGGCAGTTAGACATGGGCCAAGAGGGAGGCATCTGGACACATAGATTAAAATACAACGGTTTAATGCTGCATGTGAATACGTTCTAAGACAAAGTTATTGGAAAGGAAGACTCCGTTTTGGAACAGAAAGCCAAGTTAGAGCTTCGCCCCCTGCCAAGAGACCTCATTCTGTATTTGTAACCCATATCCCTCTTGCACTATGGCTTTTGAAGAACCTCTCCTGGACAGAGAGAATGTCAGTGCCGCCAGTTAGCCCAGTTGGAGGCTATGAGTGGAAACCCCAGGTGACCTTTCCGGGGAGTTGTGGATTGCATTAGGACAGTGACCCAGAAAGCTGATTACAATAAGCCTTTTCTTTTTACAGAAGGTTACAAGCACAGGGAAAGTGGCTCCTGCAAAGACAGGATCCTTTTTCAAGGTCGGTCAGTCGTATGTTCCCAAATGGTCCTTTCTAGTCTTTGAAAGAAGCAAATAGCTGCTGCCATGCAAAATGATGCCGTGCTTGTTATTGCCCACGTCCTAGTGCAACTTCAAAAATAACCTGGTGCACGGAACAGAATGGAAAACTGCACAGCAAAGTGGCTATTCCCTTGTCAACAAAGATGGAAAGTTCTGACTCTTCCCTACAGCCATGTCCTTGGCAAAGACAAAGCAGATGTACAGGGAATACTGGTCTCCCTAAAGGGTCACAATCTCAGCTGCTGCCTTTTCACACCATACTATTTGCGCTGGACAACTGCACTTTAAGAAGCTAAGAACAGCCTCCTGGATCAGGCCAATTGCCCACCTAGTCTAGCATCCTCTTCTCACAGTGTCCAACCAGATACATGGAGGAAGCCCATAAGCAGAACATGAGCAAAACCGCACTCTGCCCACCTGCCATGACCAGCAACTTGTCTTCCAAAGCATACTGCTGACAGCGGAGGTAGAACACGGGCATCTTGGTTAGTAGCCCCTGGTAGCCTTAACCTCCCTTAAAGTAATCACTGCCTCCTGTGGGAGCAGGTTCCACATGAAGCACTTTATATATCCTGATTCTTCCAACGTTCAGCTTCACTGCATGTCTATGAGTTCTGTTGTGGTGAGGGAGAAAACCTCCCCAGCCACTTTATGTCATGCACAATTTTATAAACGTCTATCAGGTCACCTCTTGCTTGCCTTTCCTGTGAACTTAAAAGTCTCAAAGGTTTCAACCTGTTGCTCCACCTTGATCATTTGGGTTGAACGTTTCTCAACTTTTCCCAACTCTACCCTTTTAAGGTGAGGGGGCCAGAGCTGTGTATAGTATTTCAAAGGCAGTTCCACCATAGATTGGTATAATGGCACCATGATGTTGGCCATTTTATTTTACATTATTTTCCTAATGATCCCTAGCACGGAATTTGCCTTTTTTACAGCTGCCACACACAAGAGTCAACATCTTCATTGAGCTATCCACTACAAATCAAAGGTCTCATTCCTGATCAGTCACTGCCAGTTCAGACCCTATGAGTGTATATGTGAAATATATCTATATGCCACAAAATACATCACTTTACACTTATTTACACTCAGCTGCCTTTGCTCCTTTGCCTCCCTTTCACTCAGCTTGGAGGGGTCCTTTGGAGCTCTTCACAGTCTCAAATTGTTTTAACAAACCTGAACAATTTAGTATCATCAGCAAACTTGGCCACCTCACTGCTCACCCCTAAGCAAATATAGTTTATAAACAAGTTAAAAAGCACAGGTCTCAATACTGATCCTTGGAGGTCTCTGCTTTCTACAGCTCCACCCTCTTTTCATACGGAGAACTGTCAATTTATAAGCAAGTCCCCATTTATGTGCAATCAATTTGTGCACAACTGCACACACGTGTGGTGCCGGGGACCCAGAAGAGGTATCTGGAAATGGGGAGCAGCCTGAATCCTGGCTCACAAGGACACCCACCCCAGGGCTCTGGGGAGGTTCTACTCACAAGCCAGGGGGTGGCAGGGCTTGCTCAGCTGATGCGCTGGGAAGAGGCACCTGCAGCTGCCAGGCAGAGAGGCTAAGTAGCTCAACGCAGCCCTGATGCTGCCCTTCAGGCTCAGTCATGAGTAAACCCTCCTGAAAAGGTTGTCTTTGGGCTCTGGGGTTGGTCTCCTCACAAGCCACCAGGTGCTCCCCATTTTGTGCAATTTTGCGTATGTGTGCAGGGGCCTAGAATGGAACTCCCACATAAATGATGAGCCACCTGTACTTCCACTCTCTTAGCTTCCTGCTACCTAACCATTTCTGATGTGCACGAGGGCCTCTCCTCATATTCCCTAAGTGCTCAGTTTATCCAGGAGTCTTTGTGCATGTCTCTCGAAAAAACCCTTCGTTCCTATTAAAATTAACTCCCTCCACTTTTGGAACGAGCAAACTTTCTCTTAGGCTGACAACTACTTCAGACAAAACAATTCTTGTGCATTTATTTTTCAGGCGTGCGTTTTAATGATTTAAGCTGGAACAGGAGTCTTGGTTGACCACAAACTTGACATGAGCCAACAGTGTGACGCGGCAGCTAAAAAAGCCAATGCAATTCTGGGCCTCATCAATAGGAGTATAGCATCTAGATCAAGGGAAGTAATAGTGCCACTGTATTCTGCTCTGGTCAGACCTCACCTGGAGTACTGTGTCCAGTTCTGGGCACCACAGTTCAAGAAGGACACTGACAAACTGGAACGTGTCCAGAGGAGGGCAACCAAAATGGTCAAAGGCCTGGAAACGATGCCTTATGAGGAACGGCTAAGGGAGCTGGGCATGTTTAGCCTGGAGAAGAGGAGGTTAAGGGGTGATATGATAGCCATGTTCAAATATATAAAAGGATGTCATATAGAGGAGGGAGAAAGGTTGTTTTCTGCTGCTCCAGAGAAGCGGACACGGAGCAATGGATCCAAACTACAAGAAAGAAGATTCCACCTAAACATTAGGAAGAACTTCCTGACAGTAAGAGCTGTTTGACAGTGGAATTTGCTGCCAAGGAGTGTGGTGGAGTCTCCTTCTTTGGAGGTCTTTAAGCAGAGGCTTGACAACCATATGTCAGGAGTGCTCTGATGGTGTTTCCTGCTTGGCAGGGGGTTGGACTCGATGGCCCTTGTGGTCTATTCCAACTCTATGATTCTAGTGTGCAGCCTCAACAACTGGGATACGATTACCTGTAGCATTTCAATTACAAGTGTTTGCACTCGGAAGGCATAATCTGCCTGTTCCTGGTATCTGAAGGTTTAACTCTCTTGTCTGTGGAAACAACTGAAACAGGGACACACTCACCTTTTCCCCTTTTTGTTGGGCATATCATAGGGACGGAGGAAGTCCAGCTTGTTCTTACTGAGCACGCAAAGATCAATGTTGCTGCCAGAGCCCAGATCGTTGTATATGCCAGCTGCTATGGCGTCTCTCACAAGCTGTTTGGCTTCTTCCTCCTAGGAAAAAAATTCAAAGCAGGTATCAGACATTTGCCCCCCTTCCCATATTTCCAAGCAATTGCACAATGCCGGCCATCAGCCTCCATTGGAGTAATCATCTCCTGAAGCAAAACTTGCATAGGAACCAAATGCAGGACAGGATCCGTTTGCAAGGCCCAGGAACCCTTCGGTAGAACCTGTGCAACTGGAAATACTGCTCAATTCAAATCAGCAACGAAGTGTATCCATAAAGGCTGTAACTATTCCAAGGAAGAGAACACCCAAACCAAAACCCACTTGGGAAAGCAAGCAGGGGAAGGAGGGAATTTTGATCAAAGGGATGAGTAATTTGTGGTCCTCCAGATATTTCTGGCTGCGTTCAATGGCTGCTGCGAGTTGCAGTCCAGCACCATTATCCCTATATGGTGAAAGGGGACCCATTTCGGCAGGAACATCTTCAGTAAGAAAAGAATTAGCAAATTCATGATCACCCACTCTGGTGAGTCTCCACACTCACAGAAAGGCAAACTAACCTGACTTGGAAATGTCATTAAGAGAGACCATATTACTTAATCCCTCAAGGATATTGTTAAGTAACATCCTATGCAGGTAACCAAAGCTCACTCATTATTTTTTTATGAGAGCAAACTCCTCCTTTTAATTGATTTTCCAGTAGAAAATTTATGTTTTGGCCACCAGTACTCTGAACCAAATCACAGCAGAAAATGGAAAGTGATTCCCATTACATTAGCACCCTCTACAGGCCCACTGAGGGGAGGAAATTTGGATTTCAAAAGGTGCTTGGGATAAGGATTTCCAGCGCAACGGAGGATGCTTACAAATAATGAATTCAGCATTTTTTAGGCGAGAGCCTCCTGGTCTAATCAGCTAATATGTTACCGAAATGCCCTTTCCCAGGATTGCAGGGCATTGGGGACTTCCGGGGAGGAAAAAAGTAAACTAGTCATTGATTGCTGATACTCCTATTGGCAGAGATAATTATGCGGTGATTCACGATAACCAAAGTATTTATCTTGGTTACCCAAACTCCCTTTTGAGATAAGGGAGTTCAGGGATAAGCCTCACATGCTCAGAAGAAAACATTCATCACACCAGAGGCAAAAGTTTTTGGAGGTTGAGTAAGGAACATTCACTGGGCCCACACACCACATAACAGCCCTTAGATTAGGGTACCAGGTTGGCAAAACCTACTTTTAACTATTTCTAAGACTGTAAATAAATATAAAGTGGATTTTCTATCTGCTAGTTAATTAGCACCCAGAACATAAAAAAGCACTAAATGACACTAATTAAGAGGCTAAAAAAATAACCAAAAAGCTTATCTTAATCACTGGTGACTAAGAAAGAATACAACTTATAAGATGACTCTGAATCTGTTTTAAATCTTCACTTTATACTGCCTGTAAGTCTCCATCTTATGCATACTGTGTTGGCTGCAAAAACAAAACTGAATCTTATATGTGTGTGAAAGGAATTGCATATATAAAGAAGCAGACACAAGCTTCTTGTGAACCAGATACTGCCAAGGGAGAGATTAATAGAACCCAATACGGCAAAGACAACACCAAATGCCTCATCGATTGTTGGTATCATATGCCAACTACTAGATGAACAACTGACAGAAGTTAAGAGCTGAAATGCATAGAACATTAAAAAAAAAGATTTGATACGTCAAAGATACATCAGATTAAAGAATGCTCAGAACCTGTGGGAGAAGATATGGACCCATATCTGCCTGAACAAGCAATGACATCCACATAGCTGTCTGGAGGAATGCAATGATATCCATATAGCTGTCTGGACAGTGGATGTTGCTATGATGATGAAGGGACTTATGAATATAGATATTAAGAGACAACCGGAGATGGCAAAGATGGAGCTGAGAGAGAAAGGGCCGTGGGTACAAACTGAAGTGAAGACAGAAGAAAAAGCCTTTAAGCTTTTGGCTATTGGTTTGGAAAAAGAATGGAAGTGGAAGAAGTGTTTTCCCTTTTTTCTTTAAGATGAGGCATGGTCAACCGGAAATAGTACTTGAATATATGGAATTGGGTAAGAATTAATAAAGACACAACAAGTAAACAAATATGGACTATTATACAGTACTATTAAGATCTGTCGGAATCCTTGAGGAGAAATTCATCGTCTTGGAACAGAAAAGAACTATTTTGGACATTTAATGAGAATAATATTGAAGAGCTCCTTTTGGACTTTTTGGGTAGAAAAGGGCAAATTTTAGGTGCCTGGTATAGAAGATTGAGAAAACAACACATAGCAGGCTGAGGAACAGCTGGACATCAATACAGCCAGATGTTATTCTGGAGTACACACTTTGAATATTTTGAATTCAAAGGACCCAATTTGAAGTGCTGGTTTTGACCTTTAAAGCCTTAAACGGCTCAAGATTGCAATACTGTACCACTTTCCATTTGAACCTGGACCCTGAGAACATTCTTCTGAGGCCCTTTTTCATGTGCCTCCTCCATGAGATGCCCAGAGGGTAGCAACACAAGAACGGGCCTTCTCTGCAGTGACTCCCCATTTATGGAACGCTCTCCCCAGGGAAGTTTGCTTGGCACCTTCATTATACACCTTTAGGCACCAGGCAAAAACGTTCTTTTTTAACCAAGCTTTGGTTGATTTAACTGACATCCTATGCCCTTGTAAAATATGGGGGGGGGTATTGTTTTTATTTTGATTATATATTTTGTAGGTTTTTATTTTGAGTTTGTTCTGTGAGACCTCAGAGTATAGGGTGGTATAGTAATTAATTAATTAATTTTTTAAAATTAAATTGTGCCTGTTCCCAGCAGTTGTTCAGCACTCCCCAGAGATTCTCCACAAGAGGTGCTTCCTGCAGAGGCCCCCAAGAGTCTCACAGCTCAGTTGTGACACAGGCAGAGAGGTCTGCATTCTGCTTGCCTCATTTGCTTCCACTGAACAAAATGATTATTCAGAACACACTCAAACTAAGATTTGTCCTGGTTCAGAATTAAAAGCAGACACCCCAACCTGCGAAGATGGGCTTCCAGGATTTTTGTCATCAAATATGAGTCCTTAGACAAGCCTCAGACGTGTTCATGTGACCCCATCTCAGCTACATCCCTCAGTTTAGCAAGAAAAAAGATGTACTGAAATAAGCAAGCATAATACTTGACACCACCAGAAAAACAGAGGCATTCTTCCTCAGACTGAAAATACAGCTGCCTGCCTGCTCTGTGCCAAATTCAACTCTATTTTAGCCTTCTTTCAAAGCCATTTTACATGTTTAAACTGACAAAACCAGACTCCACTTCACCAAATCAAGTACCACCTTCCACCCATCAGGCCCACGTAGCACTTTTAACATCCATTTTATTAAATCCTATTAAATAAAGAAACGGTTGCATACGAGTGGAATATTGTTCTTGCTCAAGAATGGCACTGTGAAACACTGCTCAGGAAAAACTGGCCCTGCATACATGCCACATATGCTAATTCCTACCACCGAATGAAGTTCTTAAAGCTGCAAAACAGAGGTGTATATTGAATGTGCTGACAGTCGCAGTCTTAACGATGGTAGCACAAATGACGCAGGGCAATAATTAATCTAAAAAAGTACCCTAAAAGTTCTGAGTATATAAAAGGAGCACTTCCTCCTTTATGGTTGCAAAGCCCAAGCTAACTGGGAATATCCTTCTCTGGGGCCCACGGCTGCTCCTTAAATGAGATTACAGTAAGAGTGATGGACTGTAATACAAGTCAGCTGTGACAAGCAGCCTTTATGGAGCGCTCGGCTTGCCTCCATTGCTGCATCACGCAATGGGTCCCAAGGCTCCAATGTGCTCCTCCATTTACCGCCACATGACAAATGGGCAGCACTTGTAAAAGGCACAAAGAGGTCTGGACCAGCCATGTAATGGTCACCACAGATGTGCCAAACTGCTGGAGGGGGGCACAGCAGACCCCCAAGTTCATTAAACTGACCAGTAATGGATCTCTCAAAACGTATCTGAGGAATTGAACAGTAAAGGCTAAAATAAATAACTCAGCATGAAGGCTCATCCGAAATGGTGTTTGATAAATTATTTATAACTGAGGACATTGTCTGCATTTAATTTTGGAGCTACTGGTAGCATCTTTAAAAGATGATTTATGTGTTGTAATGCCATTAAACTCTATATTGGCCCACTGCTGGCTGTAAAGTCTGCTGAGATTTAGAGAATGAGTTTTAAACTGTCACTGCAACATCATAGTAGAGAGAGGACGGTATTAAATCTTTACTTTAAACCCGTTATCAGGAGAGTTGCATTTTGTAGATGCTCCAAAACTGATAGATTACCTCCCTCTCCAACAGCAGTGGCAAGAGTCCCAAAGACAGGTCTGTTTCTCCCCTTCCCCATCCCCAGGACACAACAGTTCCACATTTGTTTTACAAGTAAGTGCCTTGGTCACTTCACTGATTTGCAGGTGGAAGAGTATAGAGCACCCAGATCCACATACAGGAGGCAACTCTGCAGGTGAAAAGGCAGGCTGGCTGTGTCGCAAGCAAAGAAGTCACTTCATCATCTACAAAACGTTACGCCAGAACTGCCTCATGTCCATTTCTGGATGTCTCTTTCCTTAGAAAAAAATAATCTGTGCCACTGAAATGGGGTGAGAGGTGAATACATTTCTACCTATTTAGAGCCTGCACAAAGTTATTTCAGCTTTTCAGCATCCAGCTACTCCAACCTCATGAAAAGGTGCCTATAAATTCACCGACAGTATTCTGGGTTGTCTGTAAACATCTGCATCCTGACATTTTGAAACACATCACCATAGTTCCAATGTGGAAGAATGGAATATGTTCTATGCCCTCAGTATATATATAAAAAAGATAAAATGTACAAATTACTTTAAGTGAGAATCTGAGAGAGATAACTGGGCTGGGGAGGGGGGCATTCGGGAGGTCAGAGCGGCAGTAAAATCTATACAGAAGTGCTGGGAGTTTGGGACTAGCAAAACGATAGCTCTTGAAG